AAATGTGTTTCTAACTATAATCTACAACTTCTTGCAAGTATAGATACTATTAGGTCTATGGCAGCCTTAATATTTTAGTTACACTTTAAATTCTTCAACTATAGTTTGATTAGGATTTTACATTTAAGCATTATAAATCCATTTATAATTTTATTTTTGAGATGAAGTCATTTAGTGAATGAATTTTCGTCAGAGTTCTATAATACCTTGGTTGTGTGATACAATAATGTCTTAAATGAGATGTTGAAGAAATCACCTCAGATATAATGTTTAAGGGATCCTAGATGTGACTTCTAGTAATTCCTTCTCTTTTTTTGCCCCAATTATTATGCATGACATCTAAGAATCCCTAAATTTCACAAATCCCCAAGATGACAAATTAATATCTACTTTGCGCTACATCATTATCAAGTTAAAGTCATTAAACAAGATAAAAATCATGAAAGCTAAGTAGCAAATGCTCCTTGTTGGTTGTTATTAATAGTATTAAAGTGAACAAGTTTAAAGAGGACAGAGGCACAATTACCAGTTATTTTGTCTAAATTTATGTACTTGTTTGTTGTCTATAAGTTTTCTTTACTTTAGCATGACTCCTGGCAAAAGATTTGAAATTTTAGCTAAATTGAGTAAAGAAATTGTAGTGTTTGATTTGGTGCTTAAATAGAATGTTAGGTCTCAGTCAGAACCAAGAGAGATTGAAAGATAATTTCTTTCTATTTAGGGCTAGAATTACCACAAAATTTGAATGCAATATGATACTTTATTCATGATATGGGAAAAGCTTAAATAGAAAAAATTACAGCAGCTTCTTTCTGCCATTCAGGAAGCACAACGGCTAATAGCGCTAAAACAGCTATCCTAACGTCTAAAAGATAAAATCAAAAAGGAAAAGATAGCTTGACCAAGTTTTGAGGGATTGCGGCTTGCTTAATTTTCCACGTTTTCCATGCTTCTGACTTAGAAATATTTGGGGTTCTTTACCGGTTTCTTTTGAGATCATCTGGTTGTAACATTGCCCCACTCTTTTGCAAGAACCTTATCCTTAGGTTCAAATGAGCGAACTTTTCACGTAATTCTTTGTCATTTCCCCAGGTGGACTCTTCTGGTGGAAGATGTTTCCATTTAACTAGGCTTTCTTCAACAATTTTAGACCATTTTTTGATCCACCTACTTTCTAAGATAGCCTCTAGTTGCAGCAAGATGTCGCCATTTTCATTAGTGTCGGGCAGGTCTTTAATGGGAGGAATATAGTCACCTACCTTTTTTTTAGCATTGAGAAATGGAGTATGGGGTGGATAGTGGACCCCTCTAGCAATTGTAGTTAGTAGGCTACCGCTCTGATGCGTTGTAGGATTTGATAAGGTCCAAAAAAGTGGTATGTTAGGTTTTGGAATGTTCTCTTGAAAGTTGTCTGCTGTCTATATGGTTCGAGTTTAAAAAAGACCCAATCGCCTTTATGAAATTCAATTTCACGCCGTTTGACATTGATTGTTTCCTGCATGTGGTGGTTGGCTGCTGTAAGTTGGTTTAAGTTGCGAGAGGAGGGCATCCCTGGTGCTTAGCTGCTGATCAACCTCATTAACAAGGGTGGAGCAGTCTGATAGCGAGGAATGAGTAGTGGTGGTTTCCATATAAGTCCTAAAAAAAGTGTCATCTTAATAACGAATGGTAGGTTGTGTTATACCAAAATTCTGCCCATAGAAGAAGAGAGCTCTATTATTTGTAGGGTTGCTAGTAGCCTAAGCATTAAACGTACTGTTCAAAACTTCGGTTAACGACTTCGGATTGATCATCTGTTTGCGGATGGTAAGAAGAGCTCATTTTGAGCTGAGTGTCAGACATCTTAAAACATTCTTGCTAGAAGCGGCTGATGAAAACTGGATCTCTGTCACTCACTATGGATCTAGGCATGCCATGGAGCTTGACAACATTCTCCACAAACTTTTTAGCTATGCTCTTAGCAATATAGCAATGGGCCAAGGCGATGAAGTTAGCTGACTTTGCTTAGGTGATCAACCACGACGAAGATGATACTCTTTCCAATGGAGGAGGGTAGGGCTTCGATGAAATCCATGAAAATATCATCCCATACTTGGCATGGAATAGGCAATGATTGTAGGAGGCTTGTTGGAGAGAGGGTATCGGCTTTGACCCATTGGCATATACCACAAGCGGACACATAATCTTTAACTACTTGATGCATGGCCGGCCAATAAAATTGTTGCACCAACTGTTTACAAGTCCTTTGAATACCCGAATGGCTCCCAGAGAGTGAAGAGTAAAATTCTTGCAGCAATTGTTGTGTGATTTTTTATTTTGGAGGAACGATGATGCGATTTTTGAAATAAATCAATCCATTTTTCCATGAGAAAGGGCTCCCTGGTTTCTCAGTAGCTAAATTTTTCAAAGTTTTCATATATGGATGATAAACTGAAACTTCCCTGACGGTATCCATAGGTTGTTCTTAGGGAGTGAGATGACCTGCAAAGTTGGGCTGTCCTCCCTTCAAGATAGCGCATCTGCGGCTGAATTTTCCTGCTCTATCTTATAAACAATCTCATAATGATTGCCAAATAACTTAGAAAGTCACTTTTACTGTTCAGGAGTCAGATGCATTGATTTAGCAAGTGGCTCAAGCTTTTCTAGTCGGTGTGAATGAAGAACTTCCGACCCATTAATTATGGACTCCAGAGCTTTATTGCAACCGCAATGGCAAGCATTTCCTTGGCATAAGTTGCCCAAGCTTGCTTGACAACTCCGAGTGCACGGGTCATGTAGGCTATGGGCTACCCATGTTAAGTGAGAATTGCCCCTATTCCATCACCGGAGGCATTCGTCTCGACAACAAATGGTTCTTCAAATTTTGGTAAGGCTAAGGTAGGAGTTGTTGTTAGAGCTTACTTGAGGTTTTTGAAGGCCTCTGCTGCTTCCTCAGTCCACCCAAACTATCTATTCTTCAATAAATTGGCCAAGGGTCTAGCTAAGATCCCATATTAACGGACAAATTTCCGGTAATAGCCAATTAAACCTAGAAAACCCCTTAGTTCAATAATGTTGTCTGGTCATGGCCAATCGAACATTGGTTGAATCTTATTTTGATCAACTTTAACCCCTAGCAGTGTGACTATGTGACCTAAATATTCAAGTTCCTGCTGTCCAAATACACATTTCTTGAGTTTAATAAAGAATTGGTGTTGCCGGAGGATCTCAAAAACCTGCCTAACATAATCAAGATGCAGGGTCCAGCTTGGACTGTAGATTAAAATATCATCGAAAAAAACCATAACAAACTTACGAAGATGTTGCCAAAATATACCATTCATAACTCCTTGAAAGGTGGAAGGGGTATTGTAGAGACCAAATGACATGACTAGATATTCATAGTGGCCGTTATAAATACAGAAGGCCGTCTTATAAACATCTGGTGTATGGACCCTCACCTGATGATATCTGGCAATAAGAGCCAGCTTAGCGAAGAAAGCAGCTCCGTGAAGTTCATTTAACATATCGTCAATGGTTGGTATTGGAAACCGATCTTGATCGTGACCAAATTGAGCGCCTGATAATCTGTGCAAAATCTTCAGATTCCATCTTTTTCTTACTAGTAACACAAGTGAGGAAAAGGAGTTGGTGCTCGATCTAATTAACCCAGAATTGAGCATCTCACTAACGTGTTTTTCAATTTCTATTTTTTGAAAGTAGGCGTACCTGTAAGGCCGAACGTTGACCGGTTCAATACCATCTTTCAAGACGATATGATGGACAATTTCTCAGTTGGGCGGCAGCTGATTTGATTCTCTGAAAAGGTCTTGGTAGCTATTCAAGAGGGTCTGCATTACTGGGTGGATGTTGGTCGTTGATGTGTCTGCCTCTACCAGCACGTAGATGGCAAATAGGGAGATTTTCTGATGGGTTTCTTTGGCTACCTCCTCTGCAGAGGCAATCTAGATGCACGGGGCATCAACGCCACGCAACTGTCGAAGCTGGCCGTCTCACTGGAACTCCATGATCATCTAGCTCTAGTCATAAATCACTGCCCCTAGTTTTTCCAATCATTGAACTCCAAAGATAAGATCAAGATCTATTAGTGGCAAAGCATAAAGAGTAAGGTGAAAAAGAATACCTTGGAGCTAGACCGACATGTTTTCGAACTGTCCCTGACATCTCATTGGGCTATTGTTCGCCGCTTTGACGGAGAAGGGTTGGACCAGAATCACCGGAAGTTTCAGCATGCTTGCGACTCGCTCACTGATGAAATTGTGAGGCGAGCCACTATCAACAAGGATGACGACGCGGTGACTGCGGATAGTTTCAGCAATGCGCATCGTCCTGGCCACTGACCAGCCCTTAAGCGCATGGAGGGAAATCTCGGGTTCTCCCACACTCGATCCATCTTCTCTTTCTTCTTCAGTCCCGTCTAGAAGCAGAATCTAAGGTTGGCAGCATCTGTGGTCGGCGGTGAACTTTTCGTCGCAGCTGAAGCAGAGGCCTAGCGACCGTCGCCTCTACATCTCTTCCCACGATAGGCATTACGAGTTAGCTTCAGTGTTTTGGGTCGAGGGCAAGGTGATAGGGTTGCACCTGAACCGGGTGAGTTTTCTCTGTCGGCCCAGTTGCTCTTCTCGCATGCGGGCCAAGCTGATGGCCTCCTTTAAGGATTTGGGCTGAAACATTCTGATGTCGTCCGCGATCTCATACTTAAGCCTACCGATGAATGTACCCATCAGAGCCATTTGGGTCTAGCCCTGAACCCTATTCCCAAGCCTTCAAACTCCTTTTGATATTCTCTCAGGTGCCCGATCTACTTCACTCTGGATAAGGCCTCATCAAATTCCTCACAATTCATCGGCCCAAATCGAGCCCACAATTCTTCCTCAAATGCGGCCCAAGTCACTGTCTTTCCTCCTTCGTTGTAAGCCTGTTGAAGCCACTGCAACCACTAGTTGGCTTTTCCTTCCAGGTGGATGAAGGCTAGCTGCACTTTCTGGTCGACAGTCATCCCTTGGTAGTCGAAGAACTGATCCACGCGATTGAACCATTCTGTCGAATCGTCACCCGAGTAAGTAGGGAACTCAAGCTTCGCAAGCTTGGAATAGAACGGTTGGCATCCCCCATCTATTCGTTCGAGCCCTTCCTCACGACCCAACGTGATTGTCCTGATCGATCTGAAATATTGCTATTGGTGCCTTCTCGGGTTAGCACCATGGATTCAATTAGTCGTCAGATGGTGTCCTCAAGTTGGCGAATCCTATTGACCAGGCCGATCTCCACACGGTTGAGATGGTCCTGTACTCCACCCATACTTGCTTCCAGATTCTCTATTATCTCCTTGTTTGTTGTCATGGCTCTGATACCAATATGATATTTGCTTTATTCATGATCTGGGAAAGCTTAAATAGAAAAAGTTACACCATCTTCTTGCTATTCAGGAAACACAATGGCTAATGGCGCTCAAATAGCTATCCTAACGTCTAAAAGATAACAAAAAAATAAAAAAGAAAAAGATAGCTTGACCGAGTCTTGAGGGATTGCGGCTTGCTTAATTTTCCATGTTTTCCATGCTTATGACTTAAAAATACTTGGAGTTCTTTACTGGTTTCCTTAGATATCTTCTGGTTGTTACATATAAACTTAACCGATAAGCTACTGCGTACACATCACTGAAACCAAATGAAATTAAATTCACCCTAAATTCACACCATCTCAGGCTGCCACTCCTCTAAGCTTTTTAAAAAGGAACCTCAGTTTTAAAATGAAGATTAATTGTCTCAATTGCTGGACTCACAAAATAAGCAGTGTCATGCACACAATTTACGGTTGTGACAACAAATCTGGGTAAATCATAAAAATACTCTCTTAACTTAATTACAAAAACATGCTGTAATTTTATTTGTAGTAGCAAGTACAAGTTTATTAACTAAATATTAAAAAATTTAATAATTGCATAATTATCTCATATGACCCTTGTGCTGTTTACCACTGGATGACCATCACATGTCAGGTTTTTTAAGAAATCTGGTTACCATAGTGCTAACCTAGATGGAACTTTTGTTGATAAAGAAAAAAAGAAGAGAGAAAATCTTTTGTAGTATACTTAGTTTAAAAGGATTTTTTGGTAAATCATCGAGAAAATTTTACTATAAACAGCATGGTCACTCAGTAGTAGCAGAGAACTGTTTTCAAGGGGAAAAGACCGTCTATAGTATACAGAAAAAACTTAATAAGAAAAATTAAAGTAACACTTACCTTCCAACAAATCCAAGATCTTGCAGTTTATTGCAGTGAGGGATTGGCATATTTTTGTTCCAGCGACGCTTCTGGAGTTCAATTTGGCAATATCGCCATAGCAAATTCTTGTAATCCTTAATCACATTGTCCTCAATGTTAGATCGAGCAGGGCTACCAGGAGGAAATTTGTCATCAAAGGAAGATGATTTGACATAAAACTGAATTTCATGTTTCTCAGTTGTCATGGGAAACTGATAGGAATAGTTTTTATGTAACGAGTAATCAGGCTCCGAAAACGGCAGATAAGCAAGTAAGAAAATTAG